ATGTGAAGTCCACTAGACAAAGTAGCAAATACTGCCAACACAGTCCAGGGAATGGGAGAGGGCATTGTTAGGAAAAGCGTAAAGGTAAGCAATGTGATAATTGGCATTCTTCTGACTGGGACCAAAAAGTCCAATGTGCTTAGCAAAGAAGTTTGCAGAGCCTGCAATTAGCACATTTGTTAGCTTGGTGCAAGCTTTTATGACAGACTGGCCTTCCTTTAGTCTCTGAGCAAACCCACGTAAAATGTAGAGTCTTCCCCACTTTGGCTCTGGAAAGATGTGTTAGGATGTGGCTCCTGCATTTCTGTCTTCTGCTTTTGCCAGACACACGAAGCCAAAACGAACTCAAATGGATTTCTGGGCATGTGTCTGTGATAACGTGGACCAAACAAGCTCCGAGAGCCCTCCAATCGAAATACCCAAGTGGTGTCTCTAGTTCACAGTTTGTGTATACAGTGTCCCTCAGCTTGTAACCTCTTCCACAGGTACGTCAACATGACCCACCAATTCCCAGCACTGTCTCCAGAGCAGAAGAAAGCTCTTTCAGACATTGCTCAGAGGATTGTGGCTTCAGGAAAGGGGATCTTAGCTGCAGATGAATCAGTGGGTGAGTTCTGGATATCAATCAATTAGCAGTACCCAAGACTTCTTCTCTTAATTTTGCTTCATCTTTGAAATCAGTGGAGTAAATTAAAAACATTAAAAACCTGTTGACTGACCAGGAACAACTAACTCAGTGAGGCAGTGTGCATCTACAGCAACAAAAGGTGACAAACTATGGGTTGAGAAGGGAAGCTCCGAACTGAAGCCCCTAATTACTACATACTGGGACCAGAAGGCCAGCCAGGCCTAACACCTCTCCATTTGACCTTTGTCCATCTCACTAGGTACCATGGGGAACAGGCTGCAGAGGATCAATGTGGAGAACACAGAGGAGAATCGCCGGGCTTTTCGGGAGATCCTCTTCTCTTCAGATGCTTCCATCAACCAGAACATTGGGGGAGTGATCCTCTTCCACGAGACTCTCTATCAGAAAGACAGCAGTGGAAAGCCATTTCCAGCTCTCATCAAAGAAAAAGGCATTGTGGTGGGAATAAAGGTGAGTATCTGTACATGTCTGGCTGGCAGCATAATCCAACCCCATCTCCAGTGAAAATTACCTATGGGCTGCACTCTCTCCTTCCAAACATTTTTTTTTTCTTTTTTTGTGCTTGGTTTTAAAATCACTAGAGGATCTCTGCCACCATTCTCTGCATCACTTTTGTACAACTAACCAGGGGCACATTTGCACTTGATGCAGAAACTTTTCATCCACCAACTCCCATCTACTCACTGTTCACTGCAATTAAATCCCTCTGTGAAGTAACCTAAATCCAGTCTTTTCTGCATCTGACAGAGCTCTTGAGCCATTCTCTGCAGCTATCTGCATGTTGACCCTTCCTCTTACACAATTCACTCCTTTTCTTCCCCTTTGCTCCAACATTTCCCTCGTTTGTACCCTTAGCATGTTCAGATCCATACTTTACTCAGTCAGTCTACAAAGACAGACTAGCCATTAGTAAGAAAATAAGGATGAGACTGATCTTCATCTCTGTGTAACCCTTCCTGTTTTCCTGGTCTCAACAGCTGGATAAAGGCACAGCACCCCTAGCAGGAACAAACGGAGAAACCACCATCCAAGGTAAGGAGAGATCTAAGGAGCCTAAGCTATGACTGGTACAGCAAAAGCCATAGGGTGACTCACTTGAGCCACAGCCTTGGCTGGTGTCACGGTACTTTTCATAGCTATGTCCCGAAGAACTGTTACTAGTGGAACACTGTTCTTTCATCTGCAGGGCTGGATGGACTAGCTGAGCGCTGTGCCCAATACAAGAAAGATGGTGCTGACTTTGGCAAGTGGCGTGCAGTGCTGAAGATCACCAGCACAACACCCTCTCAACTTGCCATCCAAGAGAACGCCAACACTTTGGCACGCTATGCCAGCATCTGCCAGCAGGTATCTACCCTCCAGCAACCTTTCCTCAGATGCTGTTGCCCCTGCTCACTGTTCCCTGTGATAAAATGCTAGGTAACTTGAAAGGCAGATCTCGGTGAGGGTTTTGGGAAAGCTGAAGAAGGGCAGCACAGCAAGAAAGAATACCACCAAATTCAGGGTAGACAAGGACAGTTTTTCTTCCAAACTCCCAAAAACTTCCCTGTTTTTCTTTTCTTAGCATGGCTTAGTGCCCATTGTGGAGCCAGAAATCTTGCCTGATGGAGACCATGATCTCCAGCGCTGCCAGTACGTCACAGAAAAGGTAAGAGATTCCTGCCCCTCTCCTCCCCTTCACAAATCAGTAGATAATCTTATGCAGAGTTAGCGTTCACAGATCTCAAAGAGCTTTGACCAAAAAGGTACCTCATAACTGCATTACAAAAATAAGTTGCTCACGGTCAAATAATTAGTTAATAGCAAATGCAAGATTATAATCCATGCTTTTGGATTTTCACTCAAACTGCCACTATAAGCATTCTCAATCTCAAAAAGATGGATTGGGAGCAAAAAAACCTACCCCTCTTTCATTACCTCAGTTTGTAGGGACAAATCCAGCAAATAGGAAAAGTGGTATCCTGGTGATCTCAAAAGTAGTGGTTTCTCCAGGGCTGCAACCCCTGTGATAAATTTCACGAGAAAGCAAAGTTCAATTTGATTGTCTTACACTCCCAAGCAATAAGCTGTCTTTCCACAGCAGGCTGAGGTGAAGATTTGAGCAGAGGTCTGTATTCAATCCTCCTGTTTTCAGGTTCTGGCTGCTGTCTACAAGGCCTTGAATGATCACCATGTGTACCTGGAAGGGACACTGCTGAAACCCAACATGGTGACAGCTGGGCACTCCTGCCCCAAGAAGTACACCCCTCAGGATGTAGCCGTAGCAACTGTTACTACTCTTCTCCGCACCGTTCCTGCTGCCGTTCCTGGTGATTCCTTATTCATTCCTATGTATTCATTCACACTGTGACTCTTGGTGGCCTTGCTCCTACATCAGACACGCTCGGTCCTCTGGCACGTAAAGGTCAGGGACTGTGGTGGCTGAAGTATTGTTTCTAAGCCTCAAAACCTTTTTCTTGCAGGAATCTGCTTCCTGTCTGGAGGTCAGAGTGAAGAGGAGGCTTCTGTCAACCTGAATGCCATGAATCAGTCCCCTCTACCTAAGCCTTGGAAACTGACCTTTTCATATGGGAGAGCCCTGCAAGCCTCTGCCCTGGCAGCATGGGTGGGCAAAAGTGAGAACAAGAAGGCTGCACAGGAGGCCTTCCGCAAGCGGGCGCAGGTACAAGGCTTCCCCACAGCGCAGAGAGGAGCTGCTCACCATGAAGGGAGACATGTTGTCACCTTCCTAAGGCTCCTCTTGTTCCCACCTCTCCTGGTGCTTCATGTTCACCAGGGATGTTATTGTGTTGTTTTTGCCTTCCTTGGTTATTCTTGCTGTCTTTCTTCGTCTTTCTTACTCCAAGCTAACTGGTTTCCCCTCCTTTTTATTTCTTTTTCAGATTAACAGCTTGGCTTGCAGAGGACAGTATGTTGTGTCTGGGAAGACTGACACAGCTGCCATGCAGTCACTTTTCACTGCCAGCTACACCTACTGAAAGTGCAGGAGCCTTTCTTCATCCTGTCCCTCTTCACAAGGTAGAAGATGTTCAGAAATGAAAGAAAAGCAAAGAAATCTAATTTCCCTTACCCTAAACAAAACTGGGGATAAAATGTATTAGCTTTCTCTCCATCCTTCACTCCCACAATTTACTGAGAGGATATTCTTGTTTTATCTGCCCTTTCCAAGGAAGGGGAATTCTTTCTATACAATAAACAGTAGCTGCCAATAAAGCTCACATCTGCGCTCCCTCTGGTTTAAACTTAGCCCCCAGAATAGTAGTCAGATTAAGTAGTTCCCTAGCAATTCAAATACATACCCTTGCCCTTACTACATTTTGCAGCCAAATTCCTGAATTACAAAACCTGACTGTGTCTTCAATCATGGCAATAAAAGTAATTGAAAACTAATCTCTATCTCACAATTCTTTATTGTCTATAAACCTTACAGTCTCTTTCACACATCTGTGGTTTTCAGTAGCCTATGCAAAGATTAAGTCACAAAACATTACTGCTGGTGAGCTTGGGAAACCCTGAGGAGATCAAAGAGAAATAATCCAACAGTGATACAGCTGGAGAAGTTAATCCTACTGACTGAAGTCTGACAGAAACTGAGAAAACTTGAGAGATGTATATGGCAAGCAAGGCACTGGACTCAGGCCACAGATAGATAACACAACCTTCAGAAGCTTCTCGTGTCTCTGAAGAATCATGGCTGGTGTCATAAGGCTGCTATACACTGAGTTCAGGTTGCACAGTTTGAGTTAGTGCTGTGCAAAGACTATTTTTCCAAAGTGCATTTACAGTGGCATTTTCCACAATAATTAACATAAAACATGCAGGCATAGCATGTTGGCATAGCTTGAATAATTAGGCTGATATTGAAGGCCCACAGTTTGACCTTTGGTATGTTGCTATGCACCTGTTAGAGATGTAAGCTTTGTTAACTAAACCACAATTAGACAGTTGTTATGAAAAAAGGCATAAATGGCAGAAATATCAGACCTAAGGTTATACAAGAATATTTGCCCAGCAACACACTGCACCAATCAACTAGTGACACCTTGGAGCAGCCCAGCAACCAGCAAAGACCGTGCAGCCCAGAAGAGACCCTTCTTCTCCCTTCAGGACTACCTGGGACCAAGCCTGCGTGGCCAGAGCTACCTCACTCTGCAGGCTGCTCCTCCCAGCTACAGGCACCCGCTGCTCCTGCCAGCAAGGAGAGGGAAAACAGGGAAAATCACTGCCCTGTAACCTCCTCATGTTCTTTGCATCAGTAACCACTTTTTCACAGAGGCGATAAACGGCCAAACTCGTGGGATCCGATCACTGCATAATTAATGCATGCATTTAGTCTGTCCCGACCTCAACCATGAAGGAAGAGCAAGTGACTTGCCAAAAAACTAGTCCAGAGGCTGATACCGGAGTGAGGAACAAAACCTCTTTTTCTGGTTCGGTTGTGGTCCCGTAGGTCTCCACACACCTGAGTTCAAATAAACCTCTGGTCCTGATGAGAAGCATCCTACTGATCTACTGATCTAAGTAGATTATTTCTCTTAAAATTGAGAGTGGAAAAAACGGTCCCCTAAACCAGCAGAAGAAATCCTCTCACACTTTACAAAACTGAAGCTGTAGCTTTGCTAAATAATTCCTGCTCCTTTGCCGGACATCTGTCACACACGCTCTGCCTGGTGCAGCTGGCGGCTGTGCCCTGCCTCCTGATTTTTATCTTTGACAGAGGCGTTTGTGACCGGAGCAAGTGGCCATCTGGTGAACGTACTACCATGAATCGAAGCAAGGCTGCGTACAGATGATGAGTTACTTCTCCCTTATAAAAATGAACATAAAAAAAAAAAAAAAAAGGAAAAGTGATATTCTCTTATCATTGTGTGCCCGGATCAGGAATGTGGCCTACAGAACAAACCCCCTGTGCAAACGGGCTGGCTGACAGCACCAGCACCCCAAAGACGGGATGAACACCCCCACAGGCAGCTGCCAAGAGCTTTTCGACTGGCAGAAACCCACAGCCACCGCTAACGTCGCAGCGGG